TCGCTGATTACGAATCTGACATCAGATTTTCAAAATTCAAAATGGCCGATCCAATATGGCAGACAAAAATTTTTTAATTATTTAAGTTTGCCTGAAATTCATTTCTTAGGGGTTTTTGGGGTCGCTGATTCAAAATGGTTTTATAACGAAGCAGAAAGTAGAAAAACTAACCTTATTATATCATAATAAAAAAAGAATAACGATAGTGATCGTCAATTTTTCGTCAAATTAACGATCACTGAAATTAATTTTAACAAATTTTTTATTTTTAAATTTTTATTTGAAAGGGTTTCGTTAATACGTTTGACAATTTAATATTGATGAAAATTAAAAATTATTAAAAATTTCAGTAAAAAGTTACAAATAAATTCGATCAATTTTTTAATTTTGTCCTACCTATTATATCCGCCAATTTGAATTTTGAAAATCTGATGTCAGATTCGTAATCAGCAACCCCAAAAACCCCCACGTAATGAATTTCAGGCAAATTTAGATAATTTTAAAATTTTTGTCCGCCATATTGGATCCGCCATTTTGAATTTTGAAAATCTGAGGTCAGATTCGTAATCAGCAACCCCAAAAACCTCTAAGAAATGAATTTCAGGCAATTTAAAATAATTTTTAAATTTTTGTCCGCCATATTGCATCTGCCATTTTGAATTTGGAAAATCTGATGCTATATTCGTAATCAGCGACCCTAAAAACCTCCTAGCAACATGTACCGAGTAAATCTGATAAGTTTGCAAACTGTTTCAAGCGAATCTATTTGCTTCTTACATTTTTTTGGCGCCATATTGGATCCGCCGTTTTGAATTTTGGAATTCTGATAGCATATTCGTAATCAGCGACCCCAAAAACCCCCGAGTAACGAATTTCAAACCATTTTAATATGCAGAAGTATGAATATCGGTTTGTTAACTTTAAGAACGTTTTACTCGAAAACTTGATTTTGGACGTAAGGTCCCTTTTAACATTCCAGGTCACATATAATTATTAAATAAAATTATTAAATAGTCAACAATAAGCTACCTAATTTAAATTAGTTACTTAAGAATAAATAATCTTCTAATTATTCTTATTTTCAATAAATACAATTATTGTTATTTATTAAATGCTTCAGCATAATATAATAATAATAATTTTGGAAAACTATTTATTTTTAAAAGAAAAAGCAGTTTTTCGCAGATGCATAGCATGAAAAGAAAAGTGAGAGCCGTTTGTTTCTTTCCTTTTCTCTTATATTTTCTTTGCTTTTAAACCCCTTTTTTAAATTTAATTAGCAGGCGACATGCACCCCAAACGTCAGTTTGTGTCAGTCACGTGCCGCACACGCGCTTTTTCGCCGGAAGCTCACTTAGCACACGGCAAACAGCCCATTTTCCCATCGTGCCTTCCTTCCGGTCATTCCTGGACACGCTCGAGCTGTTTTGGGCTATACACATCAGGGGAGAGAGAGAGAATACTTAAATACACTTTCCAAAGGCGACGCGCCGTATCGCGATTAAGGTGCGAAAGGGTTGCCAAGATTATAGACCGAGGTAAAGAATCAGTTAGAGTTATATCCACTATGTACTGTATATATACATATCTGATGATTTATCCACTTATGATGCATATATTTTAATTGAAGACACGTGCCTCTCACGTGTGCTTTTATTTATTTTTCTAAATATTAGACTAGAAAATAAAAAGCATATTATAAATTTTAATAATTTCATACGGTTATAAAAATATTTATAACAATAATAAAAAAATAAAGGAAGAATATTTGACAAAATTTAGATGTCTTTAAAAAAAAGTTCTACAAGATTCTTTACTGGCCTAATAAATTTTCTTTTCACTGTCTCTAGTAATAGAGAATTTGAAATCGGGAAGGAAATCTGCAATTTGTTTTTCCATATATATTATATATACCTAAGTTAAATTAAATCGATAATTTGAAAACAGTTTTAAACACTTTAAAGCCATAGTTGTCGACTGATATACAATAATTAAAACTTTATACAAATTGCCAGTATGACCCCTAAATGTCGTGCATTATTAAGAAATTGACGCATTGTATTTTGTCTGATTGTCATGTGGGGGCGGACTTACCGCATAAGGTTCTCAATATATGTCCAAACCCCTTGAATTCTCTCATATATGAAAGAAGGCGTTTCTGGGAGGAAAATAGGGTTTCGTATCATATTAATATTACTTTACATATATACAGATAAAATTCAACTTTATATGTAGTTCATATCCTGTATTTCTAATTTAAAATCATTCTCAACGATTTCTTATATTGAATATATATTTATAAATATGACATTTTAAATTTATGACATAATTTTTAAATTGCACCTGATGTTATGTAATTGTATGACATTATGGACTTAATTGTAAGAAACTTGATTAAGAACCGCACAAACCACAATTATCAGGTTCTATAAATATATATCATGCACTTATTCAAACATATTGAAAACCTATTGCAGAAAAAACAATAGAAAGGAAATTCTATAAAGAGAATAAATACTTGGCATCGCTTTTAATAAAATTTCACTAAAGTTTATTCTTATAATTTAGTATAGGTATTAATATATTATACTATCTAATGTTAGTATATTAATATACATCAAATTATAGATATTTTCGTGCTTTTAATTTTTTAAAAAACATTTCATTCAAAAAATTTCTTAAATAAAAACTATTTGATACAAATAAATAATATTTACTTGATAATCAAATAAATTCTTTTTTCAGTGTATTACTTAAATTGTTTCGAAATTATGGAGCTGGAGTTTGACTGACTTGAAGAAGGTATTTATACTTAAAGGGAAATCGATCAGAAAATTCATTTTTGTATTTTTGATACTATTCGATAGATTTTAAGCTGCTTTTCCACATGCAAAAATCAGAAATTGAAAACTCAAATAGTTATAAAGCCCACCCTTACGAAAAAGTATGACTTGTAATTTACAACACGAATAAGTGTTGTAATTTACGTGGCGTTTTTTCGCGACACCACGAAAAAAAACACCAGATCGAGAATGTCAAATTGTTTTCAACTTTTCAGGTAACCTAACCAAATTATCAAATTTGATTCGGAGAGATTGTTAACTTGTTTCACCTTTATCAAATTATCAATTAAAATTTCTAATTAGAAGTAAAAATAAAATATTTTTTTTCGATGGGACAGTATGATATTATAGTTTTTATTTTGTCCTTTAACTCCTTAATCCGACTCTTAAGAAAAAATTTGCATAGTATTTCGAATTTTAAAATAACCTTACACGCATAGAAAGATTGGTTATAGTTGAAATAGGAACATAGCTAACAAGTTTGCTGTCATATCAAAAAGGTTCGCTATATCACAGCGAACTCACTCAAAATACTTATGTTGGTTGACAGAACGAAGTGGTCGGCCGCTGTCATCGCAAACTTCTTAGTTGTGATAGATAATTATTAAAGATTTGGCAGCAAACATCAGTTAAACTATATACATAGTTCTGTTAAAATTTTTTGTGCCTTGAAGTTTGTACATGATAATGTTTTGTTTATAGCGTCGCGAAATAACGTCACGCAAATTACTACACTTATTCATGTCGTACATTACATGTCATATTTTTTCGTAAGGGCAAGATAGACATGTCTGCTCAAATACGATTTCTGGTCTTGCTGTAAGCGCTCACCCTGTAAAATTTATAGGTACCTTTTTGTGTCGCGTCACATATAAGCAAAAAATACATATATATGTATGTTAAAACTTTATTTGACAAACGTGATAATCGATAAAAAGTTTCTTGAAAAAGTTTTTATTGAAGACCATGTTTTTTTCCTGGCTATTATTAAGTTTTCAATTGAGCAATCGCATACAAAACGATTACGAATTGCATGAAATAATTGCTGCTTGTAAAGTTTAGAAAAAAAGTTCAATTTTATTAAGGGGGTTGTAAATATTTTAGTGACACTTTCATTTATAAGTGTTCTATATATCGAGCTTCGTTTTTTTAGAGTTAGCTCGGCAAAAACTGAATTCAAAATAAAAAAAAACTGTTCAGAACTGTTCAAAAACTGTTTCAGAATATACAAACACATTTTTATCACTACATTTTCGGCAGGTGTTAAAATTACAATAAACGCAAGGATTTTTACAAGATTTTTTCTCCTGTCTGTTTCTCTCTCTCTCTCTCTCTCTCTCTCTCTCTCTCTCTCTCTCTCTCTCTCTCTCTCTCTCTCTCTCTATCCCTTTTTCTTGAGTATATTCTACAATTTTTTCTTTCTGCTTTTTTGTAGAATTTTGAGAAATTTTTATGACTGACTTAAGTGAACTGTAACATTAACGAGGCGCGTCTTTGTGCATAATTTAAAAACACTTTTGAAGTTAGTGAAGCTTATTCTCATGTGTGTGTATGTTTATGTATACGAAACATTGGATCGTTATTGCGCGCGACCGGAAAAAGTAACCTGTAATTTTTACCGGTGCCCTTTAATACTTTCCAAACGAGCGATAAATATACATATACATGTTAGCGCATCTAACTTATATATGAGCGCGCACAAACTTTGGGCAAAGTACATATAGTATATTATATGTAAGTGAATTTTTATTTCGCTTACAATTTTTACTCAAATGAAGACAAGTATATACTTCATATGATGGTAATCTAAAACGCTTTACCAACACCTTAAAAATATTTTATCTTTCCCACATGTAAGTTTATGATTTTCTCGTAAAACAAAACTTATTATTTTTTTTTCTCATAATAATTAGAAATTGGAAAAAAATTATTTTTTAAAAACTTGTAGAAAACAATTATTCTTTAATTATATTTATTTATATTTATTTATTTATAATTATTTCTTTTTAATTTTGTTCAATTGTTTTTCTTATTCTTCAATATTTATTTATATTTATCTATTTATTTACTGCAATAATTTTTATCCATTGTTTTATTTATTATATAATAATAAATAAATAAAATCATAAGAAATTAATGAAAATAGTTAAGACTCACCAGTGTGAATGTAGGTGTGTTTCTTCATATCGGACTTTTGATGAAATCTTTTGCCACAATAGTCGCAAGGATATGGTCTCGTGTCGGAATGAATTAATAAATGTGTGCTTAATGTGCTAGATCTCTTAAAAGCCTTTCCGCACTGTTTACACTAAAACAAAAAAAACGTATTTTTACTAATAAACAAATAATAAATTAAATATTTAATTGGTAAATTTATTAAATAATAATATTTACTGAAGAATAGTTAATTATTTCTTTATTAAAGTATGCTGAATAATTATGAAAGTTACTAAATAGTAATATTTAATAAATAATATTAACAAGTAAGTAAATAATAAATAAAAATTAATAAGTAAATATTAATAGAAATTAGTAACCCAAAAAAGAACAATAAAAAAGAAACTAGTAATAAATATATAATTCAAATTTGCAATTTAGGTTATAATAAAAATAATTAATGACTTATTTCATCCTTTAAAATTTATTTTTATTGTACTAAATGTGATCGAGTAATAATGCCGAACGCGCATATATTTACGCAGCACCGTTTTCTCGTCATGTATTATTGTCACAGGCGCCAGTCTTGACAATACTGCATCCATTCTTGCTTTATTGAACAATGAACCATAAGTATTCACAGAATCGTGTACTTTTATCTACATATATACAATATGTATACATATCGTGCATGTCCTTCTATTACTATAAAATTATCATTATCACTATACAAAAACTTTTCTGAATCATTCCATCACTTTCCAATCGATTTATTAATAAATTTAAGTATTCCCCTTCTACATTTTATGGAAATGAATAATTTTATTAATAAGCTGAATCATTTTTTTACAGGGAAAAAGTACTTTATGTGAAGAAAAAAATAAAAGTACTATAAAAATAGTAATAACATGTTAATAATAGTAAGAGATAGTAATAATAGTAAAATTAGTAATAGTAATAATAATAATAAAAAATGTAATAAAAAAATATTAATAACAATTTTACTCAATTTTTTTAAAATTATATTTACTGATACCGCGAAAAAGTTATTATTGCAATTATTGAATATTATTCGTCGTGTGAAAATGCATTAAAATTCAGTATAAGAGCGAGAAAATAAATCTCGAGAAAATAAAGCCAATTGTGTGAAAGATAAAGCGTCAAAGGGTGTGGAAGAAGTAACAACTTTGCCCGTAAAGCATTCATCACTTCCTGTAGAATATCAAGACAAAGAATATATTTATAATAATTGACGACGTTCATTGCCTGTTGATGAATAATTGAGATTTGCAAACAGTAAATTTCACTCCAAGAACTATATACAAATTACAAGAAAGAAAATTAAAAGCAATTTTTAACATCGAGAAATTTATTAAATTTTTAATTTATTTTAATATTTGTTAACTACTTTTGCAAATTAATAAATTAATATTTTAATTATTATTAATAATAAAACTTGTGTATTTTTGAAAAATCAAGAAACTTTTTAATTTTTTTTACAATTAAATAATATTTTGAATTAAATAATATTATTTTATATTATTAGGTATTTTTTAATATAATTAAATATAAAATTTTTAAAAAAATTAATAAATATTTTTTTGACTGAAAAACGAAGAGAGTTTAGAATTTGAAATTGTTTATAGATATAAGAAATAAAAAAATGAAAGGTGTTGAAATTTAAAACATTTTTCAGTTAAAAAAACGAAAAAAAATTTTGATTTTCAGTGAGTGAATGACTAACTGTACATTTTTCCTGATGCAGGAAATTCCTTAATTTTACATTTAAGTTCAAAAATTTTCTGTTTACTCAAATGCAATACGTGTATCAGTTATGTGACGTCACATAAAGAAACATAAAGATTTAAATCTTTGTATAAATAAAAAGTTTGTGGAAATTTTATTTTTTAAGTCATCATGACATTTTTCTAATACCTAATATAGCTTTAAAATTTAATTTTTTCTCCCCTTAATTTTTTATAATTTATTTATTTATTCATTAATATAAATGGACCATATTCGATGAAATCTCATTAATCAGGGTATTTGAAGTTTCCAATTACGAATCTGAAGCCAGTTTCCAAAAATTAAAAATGGATGATCTAACATGGCGAACGAATGTTTAGAAATTTACCGTATTTACCTGAAACTTTTTACAAGCGGATTTTTGGATTCAATAATTACTATTTTGCGGTCAGTTTTCAAAAATTTCAAATCGCCAACGACCTATTTCAAAAAGTATTTGATATTTTTTTTCTTCTGAACTCAAGTTGTGGTGTGTTAAAGACATCAAATGGATATTTTCATGTAAAAGAAAGTAAAAAAATGCAAAATTTTATTTAAGCCAAAAAATTGCCCGATTATATGCTAAATAATTTATATTATTAAAGTGCATTAAAAATTTAGTTTTGGATTTTACAAAATATTGCCCTTTATTTCTCGTTTTTTTCGAAAAACAAAACAAATTTTTTTCGAACAATCAGTTACATTTAAAAAAAATTATTACGATTTATCGATTTGTCAAGTCCTTCAATATTAATATATTTTCTAATATTGTCACCGCAGATAGAAATATTGAAGTCGAGTTTAACTGCAAGAGTTTATGGAAAATCGAAACGTTTTACGATCACCGCAGTTGGAAGCTCCACATATTTGTCATAAAACAACTATGCCAGGGTAAATTCACGGGACTTAGAATGATAACACTTTTTTTACCGACTTCACTCCTTTACAATTTTCCTCTAATAAGAAAATAATTTCCAATTGATTCTCAGATTTAAAAACAGTATTCCTTATTTTTAGTTTATATTTACCTAACAAAAAATTTTATAATTCTATAAACAAAATAAGCAAAAGAATATTACATATTCGATAGAAAATTAAAATTCTAAATTATCAAAATAAAAAAATATATATAAATTACTTTATTTCCTTCTAAAAGAAGAGTATCAGTTTTCTTTAGAAAATTTTTTCCTATGTACATATAGTATATTATATATACACTTTAGGAAATTGAAATACTAATTTTTGCAACTAACACTTATTTGGTCAAAACTCCTTGTATAGGAAAAAAGTCATTTGGAAGATTCATCTTGTGGACAAGTGTAGTGTAAGGTAAAGTGAGATTTCTAGGATCGATATTCATTTTACGTTCCTCGAAAGTCAGACTATCGCGAGTTTAATCTTTCATCTTTAAACTGCACTGGTCTCTATTTGCCGCCACTGAGATCTACGAGGCTCCTGGGACCTTTGATTTTTTCTCAAGTACACTTCAACAAGAATGTTTTACTTGTCACGTGAATCAAGATTACTTTTCCACAGTTAATTTCATGATTTGTGGTATAGAAAATTAAAAAGAAAACATTTCATCCTTAAGTTCCAGTTCATTTGAATAAAGAAAACAAAATTTATAAACAATTTTTTTAGGTACAGTTAATTAAAATTTAATATAGGGGAGACTAGGTGCGGTTGTTGCGCTGTGCAGTTGTTACAAATAGAATATCTCAGAAACAGTTAGTTATAGAGATGGGGTTCCAAAGAGAAAAATGTTTAGTTTTAATGTACGAACTTACTGCAATATGTTTAAAAATTATATGCAAGCTTTACAAGTAAAAAAATAAGCACATTGGTTTTTAGAGGCCAAAATTAAATAGTTCTCTGCTTGATAATTTTTAAATAATTAATATATCTTAATGCTTAACAAAGTACATTTTTTTAATATCAATTCTATGAGGATTAAGCTTTAAAAAACTGCCTTGGTTGCCCACATTTAGTGTATACTTTTTTAATAAAGTGTTTTATTGTAAAAAATACAAGTGATAATGAGAACGGATATTTTTTCCAAAATTCAGCAGATTCATTTGAAATGTAAAACATTTGTCAAAAATGTAATCACACTCATTTTTTATGAAAAATCTCATGGTTTTTCTAAATTCGTCTTTAAAATTAATAACAAAAAAAAATTTTAAGTTTCTTTCATTTCGAAACAATATAAATGCTGCCATCTCTATGGAACTATCACGTACTATTACGTTGAGTCAAAAATTATAAATAATTAATAAAAATGGTCATAAAAAGTTATTTGTCTTCAATTTAGAAATTTCATATATGATTTTTGGTATTGTAACAACCGAAATTCACTTTGTGCAGTTGTTACAATTTACACGCTGTCACTCAAATGATTCTAGTTAATTAAATAATAGATATAGAGCGCTAAATCAATTATGGCCTTTTTAAACTAGATAATATACCTTTGATTCGTTTGACGAAACAAATTGGAGTTAAACTCTAATCACAGTAACTGTTTTTATCAAAATTGTAACAACTGCACCTAGTCTCCTCTAATTTCAAATTTTAACTTTCAATTTTTAATAAAATTAAGGTTTAAGAAAAACATTAAAGGGCCTAGCGGAGTAAGCATGTAAAATCTGCCCCCGCTCAAAAAAAATTTGAAATTCTTGTTACATGTTGTCAGCATTAGGATAAAATTTTTCACCAAATATTTTTTCAAAATATGCATTTTTGTAAGAGTTATGGAGGGGGAAAGAAAAATCAAAAATTTGTTATTTCTCGAAAACCACTGGATCGATTTTAATGAAATTTATATGTGTTTTAATAGGATACCACATAGTGAAAAAAATTAAAATCCTAGGTGACGCATCATTCCGGCTGAAGCACAATGTATCCAGTAACTGATTATTTTTAAATTTGCTTGAAATTTAGTAATTATGTATTTTTAGGGTCACTTATTATGAATGTAAAGTTAGATTTTCAAAATTCAAAATGGCGGATCCAATATGGCGGACGACTTTTTGAAAAATTCACCGTATTCGCTTTAAACTTGTCACTCGGGGGTTTTTGGGGTCGCTGATTTTGAATTTTGAAAATCTAACATTAAATTCGTAATGAGTGATCCCAAAAACACATAATTACTAAATTTCAAGCAAATTTAAAAATAATCAGTTACTGGATACATTGTGCTTCAGCCGGAATGATTCGCCACCTAGGATTTTAATTTTTTTCACTATGTGGTACCCCATTAAAAAAATTAACAAAAATATTTCTCAAAAGTACACATTTAGGAGAATTTTCTGTAAAAATTCCAAAGTAGTATCTCCAAATAAGGACAAAAAGAAATTTTTTTTGGGTTTT